AGAGAGAGAGAGAGAGAGAGAGAGAGAGAAGAGTAGGCGGTTAGGCTTCCACCATGGGGAAAATAAACATTAACTCTTAGTGGACGTAGCAGGCACATAAGTCCGATCAGCAGCAGACCAAAGGCAGTGCTACAGTTTATTTTGAACAACCGTACACTAATCAAAAACATTCGGTTGCATATTCTTGGTTTATGCGTTTTTGCCTGGGATTTTTAGTTTCAGGTAAAAAAAAAAAACAGAATGGAAAAATCTGTATGACTATCGAAATCATGTTTCAAAAGAGCGCCGTAAAACCTCTACTAAAAAACCCAAAAATAAAAACAAAACAAAACGGTGCCTTCAAGTATTGTTGAATAACCAGAACACGTGTCCTCAATGAGTTAACAAACCAAACAAACAATTTCTCAAACACAAAAAAAAAATCCCTTCACATTTGTAAAAAAATGAAATAAGACACACCCTTTCACCTTCCTTTACCCCAACCGTATTGATCATTTCTTTCCATCGGAGCATATAAAGGAAGTCAAAGATCTGAAGACAGGGAATCAGTATTTGGGCAATCTACTTGCTCTATGTCAAGCTCCCAGCCAAAGCTGTACATATTGTTTAGATGGTCTGTCAAAGTGAAATCACCGTTTGTGATATGATATGCGTAGACACAACTTTGAAACTCACAAGGGGAGTCAGAGCGAGAGGCGAGATTGTCCGAGAACAAGTTGGCTCGACTTTTTGCTTGAGGGACCGAGATAAACAACGAATGAAATGCTTTGGACATCTGTCAAGACTACCAGCACAGTATAGCAGCGAGAACATACAACCAGAGATCAGATGGACAGAGAGGAAGAGGCAAAACCAGGAAATGGTGGCGAGAGGGGGTCCGAGAAAAATTAGATAAAAAACAACATAACCATGCAACAGGCGATACAACAAGCAAGAGAAAGACGTTTGCTTCTCCACTCCACACAGCAAGGTAATAAAGGCAAGAACAGAAAAATTAGAGTAAACCAAGACGCAAAACAATCATTATCAGAGTAGACAGACAACACGAGAAATAGCCTGAGACGTAGCAAAAAGAAGAAAATTGACATCAGCACAATAATAGACTGATAGTGTAGGGAAAAAGAAAGACAGACAGTCAGACAGACAGACACAAACAACAAGAGAGAAAAACATGAAAAGAAAAGAAATAAGACCTAACAGTGTCTCCCTCCAACCACCCACAGTCTAGCACCCGCAACATCAAAAGCATGAGCGGAAATTATGAACTAATGGGAAAAGATGGATGTTTCAGGTGGAAGATTAATATTGAACTCCGAGAAAAAAAAAAGAAAAAGAAAAGGAAAAGGAAAAAAAACCAACCCTTCCCAAGTTAATAAAGAAAACGAAAGGGGGGAAGTATTAGATGAAATCTAAAGTGTAATGGGATGTATCTCTCAATGAACTCATGCGTGTGTAAGACCATCATTCCCCCACCACTTCACACCTCACCCCGGCTCACGCTTACTCAACAGCCAAAAAACACACACTCAGAGAACCCC